GGTAGTATATTTTGAATTTTTTGTTCCTAAATCGATTGCTCCTAAGGTAATCAATTTTATGTAGTCTTTAGTTTCATAATAAGTGTATACTTAATGAAGTTACACATGCACTTTTCTCTTGTATCCCCCTATTTTTTTTCTCTCTCTCTTTGTCCTAAGGCAAGAGGCAGTTGTAAGTTTTAGTTACTGTCTGACTGCAAAAGTGGCCGACGCCTAAACTGTTTTTTACCTCACCAATATTTTCTCACATCTTTACAATATACTCCATGTTTTGTTAAGTAAACTTTCATTGTAAGTTCCTAGTCATTGCATTGTACATTCTAAAAGCTCTTTGTTCTCTTTGATTTTTAATTTTTACACTAGGTACAGGTGGAATATAGATCCTTTCATGTGACTTTGTCCCTCAGGAGCCGTATTGTTTCCGCTATGTCGTAGCATATTCCTTGAAATTTTTTGCAGAGTTAGCATCCCCAAAGCCCATTTTTGGGGGTAGCAGCATATTTTGTTGTGAGTCCTCCCCCCTTCCCATGTTTTCAATTCATTTAAAGGTATTTCAATTTGTAAAGCACTCTCAGGGTCTTTGTGGCTGAAGATTTTAATCAAACCTGGTTCCATACTCCACGAATGTAATTCTCTAATCGTTTTTGCAAAGCAGTTACTCTTGAACGCTCCTGCTGTTCTTCATGTCTCAGTCTAACATATTTTCTAAAGTTTGCTTACAAAAGTGTAAGGTGATATTTCCTATTTCTGTCTTTTATCTCATTTTTAAGCACTATTCGCTATCCCGTCATCAGTCTGGTGTAATGGAGTCTGGGAAAAGGGGCTGAAGAATTAACTTATTTTTCTGCCGGCAAAAATTGGTGGCATATTCGTTTGCCTGGACTAGAATATCAAAGAATACGGGAGGAAGGAGTATGTTGTCAGAGTAACTGATCCTCCCAATATTCTTAATTCTTTTTATGAATGAAATTTCACTCTTTTGAAATCTGGAGGTGGTCTAAATGTCACTTGCTTTGATGCCATAATTTTCATTTTCCGTATTTTTAAATCTGCTGAAGGAAGTTACAAACATACTAAAAGAATAGTGATTTTTCCATCAAATTTAATTCTCGTGATCAAAAATAAATCCTTGAAAATCCCGTGTTTCATAAATATGAAAGTGCTATGCCATAAAGTTTCATTCGTAAGATTTTATGATGATAAAGTTCAGTTCTACCAAGTCTCATAGTCTCAAAACGAGCTGTACCTCCTATGAATTCTTGCCTATAATGAAAATTGGTTACTTTTTGCGAAACTTTGCTCATAGTCTCATATCATGAAGTTATTTTTGGCTGAATTTTTTTCTCATTTTAATAATAATTCTGTTAACTGCAATTCTGCCCACAAATTTTGAAGGCTTAGCTTTCAAGAGCTGTAGACACGTTTTGAAATACCCTACCATAAAGATTGAAAACCTTCGAGCGTACATTGTATACTTAATTACACCGACTACATTGAGAAGTCTGCCGCCCCCCCCCCCTTCATGATTCAAAATGTTTGCTTGAGTGTTGCAAGTTCCAGAAAGTGTCTCCTTTACAAGCTTTGAGGTTATAAAAGTAGTACTCTTCCCCCGTTTCTCTATTACGTACGTGACACTTATTTTTCTCTATGAACGTTGAGTATGTGCCCGAATCCTGAATTCACGCCTTCAAAAATTTGATCAAATATTTATATGTCACTATTTTTTTTACACCTTTCAAGAAAACCCACGCTCCTACCACATTTATATACTTAATTGTTTGTAGTTTTTTCGTATGCTTTTAATTTTTTTTTTTCTGTTGAAAGTAAATTATAACTATCGTATCAGAAGTGACCTTTTTCAACATACCTATTTTGTTACGTAGCTATAAGTTTTAGTCAGGTACTTTAAACTTCGTGTAAATACACTCGCATCATTAGATTGTGTTTTCTAGTCTCAGATCAAGTTAATGAACTATTTTGTCATGTACCTTCAATTACATTTATGATGTTACGATGACTTTTTTTTATTAAAAAAAAACTTAAAAAAAAAAACAAATTAAGCTATACTTACTTGGTTCTTTTATTACCATTTTATTCTCCCCAGCTATCCTTTAATCGGTGCAAAAATGAATTATATCTAAGACAAGGTAAATAACGTAGAGAGCTGTGTAATATCTTTAAGTGTTGGATTTTTCTATAATTGAAGAGGACCCTAGCACATGAAGTGAAAAGTAGTATGAAAAAAAGTATCACAAAAATGAAAATAAAAAAAATGTACAAAAACTTGGCGTTAAAACTTATGCATACTCGACTGTAATGAGAATGATCTAAAGTAAAATTGTGGACTCATCGTCGCGTTGTCCTAAGAAGGAAAGTTGAACATATTATGTGAGATCTAAGTAAACGAATATTTATTAAAGATCAACAAGAAGAACGGAATAAATATTGAGCTTGATTCATTAAATTCCAAAGCATGATTTCGATAAAACAATAATTTGTTTCTCGAGAACTCCGCGAGTCATCAAAAAACACGATGCAGCGGTCGACCCGCTCCCGCTCGCGACATGACACTCCGCATCTCGTATTCGCCTTATTTTAGGTGAATATACAACGCGCATTCCCGAGAGTTGCATTGGAGGTATCGTATCAACATTCACGCAAGATGCCGAAAGACTCACTCACTATCTTTTTGATTTGTTCGGATTCGTCGATTCATTGACGCTAAGTGTCCCCATTTCTTTACCGTCTTATATTTAGACCGCGTTTAACGGAAAGGAACCAATAAGCCACATCGGTTGTTGCCACATTTAATTGAGGTATTTAATTTTCTACTAGAGAACGTTTGTGCGAATTTTTTTGAAAATTTTAGGGGATCTGCCTTGTAACATGCAAAAAATTCACTGAAATTTTCGAACAGATCCGCTTCACCGTTTTCACGGAATAAATTAAATTGCCCAGTTCAATTTGGCAATAGCTGATGTGGCTTGGTTCCTTTCTGCTTAACGCGGTCCATTTGCCATGACGTACATTTACCCTATTTCCAAGAGTCTCCCTAGCATAAATTAAGGACCTTATAAAATGATGGTATTCCCCCCCCCCTTTCTTTTGTCTCTGTGTGGTCTTGACTTATAATAGCGTAGTAGTAAAATTCAGGAGTATAACTTTAGAAATGTAGTCTTGCAAGGGATTAATGACTTGTCATTACAAAAAGTAAAAAATGGGGAAGGAAACCTCCAGGATTTTGACGAATTTTAAGTAGGCACTGATCTAACTTAAAATTTGCAAAACCCGTCAACTTATTCCTCTGTAATTTGTATTTTTGTAGTGGAAAATCATTACAATTTTCTAAAGGTTTCCTAAGTTACACTCATTAATTTTACCCAAATTTTGCTTGTGCTCTTCGATTCTTTAAGTCAAACTTGATCAAAGAAGTAAAAGGAGCCGCCATAAGTTTCTCACCGGTGCCAAACTTGACGCTTGCGATGCGCACTTTCCAAACTTAGCTTAAAAGTTTTTTAATAAATTTCAATTCAACAAGAAATTACAATTTGCATATTTTTAAGTATCTAAGGAATTCGAAACCATTGATAACTCGATTTCAGTCGTGAATCTTCTCTACCTACGCACAAACTGGAGGCTTTAAAGAGGCTCATCGATGGAATTGTTGGCGATTGCCTTTCAAAGATCGTCTGTAGATCGAGTCAATGGGAGAGGTCCGACAAACTTTGAAAACTCTAAAAGCTCATAACTCCGTTTGTACAACATTTTGAGGTTCTGAAAGTGTTTCGTTGGTTTCCTCGTAAAATTTTCCTCTGAAAGCACCATTTAAATTTAAAATGTTAGGAAATAAACATCAAAATTTGCAGTTTTAGTAAGAAATTTCATGTCCGACCTCTCTGATCGACTCGATCTTCCGTGCGACGCTCAGGACACAGCATAGATCAGATTTTGAGATTTGAAAGGGATTTCGCGGAAATATTGAACGATTAATAATCAGTTTAATAATATTAAATAATTAGTTTGAGGGTTCCAGTTTGCACATGGAGAGTAGCCTTGAAGTGGCGATTTTGATACTTATTCCGAGGGTACGATATGTTGTTAATTTTTTAATGAAAAGCGCTCCTGTCATTGCAGGCTCGTCAGTCGCTACATCTAGTTTCACTTGGTTGGAAGCGTCGTTTATAGAGTCGCCTGGGCCGGCGGAATCAACGGACGAACGGTTCCCGTGCCCGAAGTGCAACAAAAGTTACCTCCATCGATACAACCTAACCAAGCATTTGAAATACGAGTGCGGGCTGGAACCTCGATTTCAGTGTTGTGAGTGCGAGTACGCGGCCAAACGGAAAGACCACCTCATCGCACACTATCATCGCAGACACAATTACATCTCGAAATATTCTCTCAAATGAAATATCCCTGTTTTTATTCCTCTCGTCTCCTCAAAATCTACCCTTATTATTGGCTGATTATTGAGATTGATAGAGAAAGTGTTAGACGAATGAGACGAAGAGAAAATGGAGTGATCCTATTGGTGGAAGCAGGTAGTCTCAATGGAGAAATGTAGAGTACCTTTATAGACAGAGTATGGCCATTCGTATCTTTTTACTACAGGAAAACTGTTCCGCTTTTTGATTGGTCAACGAGTTTTTAGGCTTCATGATGCTCTTAGGGCCGTAAATAAACAAACAAGATGGCGACTCACCGTAACATCGATAAGAAGCTAAATTTGACAAAAATTTCAATTATACGGCAGTAACAATTTAAACTAGCATGTCTACGAATAACACACGGAAAACACGTGAAAACATTGTTAAATCGCCTTTCACCTTTATCACAGGAGGATGTAAGATGTGCATAACCTCAATCTTGCTTGCTGATAACAGCCATCTTGTTTGTTTACTTACGGCCCTAAGAGCATCGTGTCAGCCTATTCGCTCGCGACCAATGAAAAACCGGAACAGAAATGGCCATACTCTGTCTATAAAGGTACTCTAGAGAAACGAAGTAATTAATAGACTATCTATCGGCAACACGTACCCTACAGTTGGTCCATCATTTTTGCTCCCTCAATTCCTAAGAACCTCCCGTGTAAACCAGTTGGATTGCTCAATTTTCCTCTTGTCTTCTTTGTCAATATTTTTGTAAATCGATGTCAATGACCAGCCAGCATAATGGCTCTTAAACCACTATAGACAGGGTACGAAAACTACGGTTTTCGTCTACGTCAATTCACGGCTGTTGCTGACAAAAAACCCGAGTCTACTCGTGTCGAATGGAGCACTATGTAAACTAATTTTGGTAGGTTTTACGATTGAAGAATTTTCTTGAGTACTAACTTGTTTTTTTGGATACAATAATTGAGAATATCGTGTATCTGTAGAGCTCTTTTGATTTGAAAGTTTGATGAGAAAATATTTGCTGTAGTGCTTACTTTCTAACCCTGTCTGCAGCGGTCTATTACCATTTTGACACCGTTGGGGAGAGAACACAAACATGTTGGTGCCAAAATTGTACGTAAGAAAAACCAAACCAGAGGCATGGAAACTGAAAGTTAGTAGGAGAAATGCAAAAATGAAGCTTTCACTGCTTTCAGAAAATGGACCTTGTAGTATCGGAGCGAAAAATTTTGAGAAAAGAAGCATTCACTTTGTGTCATATTGCCACCAATCTTTTCTTCTTTTTTTCTTTTTTCTTTTTTTTTTAAACAAATGTCGCCACCAATCATGCGAAATACTCAGAAATTGTTTGAATGAATATAAATCGAGGAACTAAATGTTCAACCACATAAAAAGAGCCTTTTTCATTTTCATGTTAGGCAAGACAGCAGTAGGTGCTATCTTCTGCGTACTTACCTTGTCACATTTTAGACGCTCAACAAACAACATTTGAGACAAGAAATGGGCAGAAAATTGCACCTCTTTACTCAATACTTACTGCTCTTTGGCGGAATAATACCCCTTTCCTCACTGCTGCTCTGTCTAAAACAACGTAAATGTTTTCGAACTTATGACTTTCTCGTAGGCCTCATTTTTATGCAAATAAGACTAACTGTGCTGTTTTAGGTGAATCAGTGAGTTCATTCCAATTAGATCAGACAAGGGTTGCCGGAGTCAGGGAATACAGAGAAATGTCAGAGAATTTAAAAAAGTCAGGGAAAAATTGTTCAGTAGCCTTCATTTGCTCTCTTCAATGGGTTTGACGTTTCGAACTACAAATTTTACCCGAGAACTGTTTCTATTTGTGTATTTTCAATCATCTGGCATATCTTCAATTATCAGGGATTTTCAGCAACATTTATCAGGGTAAACAGGGAAATATCAGGGAATTTCATTTTCTACATTCGGTGGCAACCTTGTTAGACGAATTTTAAAGGAAACTAGATTTCTAAAATTTAAGCGTTACCGGCAGAGACAAGAGACCAGACCCTCCACTAGTATCTTGGCCGTTGTGGAAGCTTTTACTTTCGGGACTTCAGCACTCTACTGTTGACTTACCTTCATGGTTGATGTTCAACAACGTGTTGGCAGTTTCGTTTTGCAAACACGCCGAAATAGGCCGACGTTTGGGAAACTTGTTTACTTGTTTGGCTCATGACGTCATCCGAAGCTCATCATCGACCATGTAGGTAAGTCAACAGCCGAAATTAGGATGATGACTGTTGCTTCCTAGTAATGGGCCTGTTGCAAACTTTTGCTAGAGCAAAAATAAGAGTTGTTTCCTGTAGATAATGCCTCAAAAACCACGATGAGCGCATTGGCAAAGTCTGAAATGCACTCATAACTTCACAATCTGCGTAAGAAATTTGCGGTTTTTTGAGCCTCCCGCTTCAAAAACGATACTACGGCACAGGCGAACATTTTGATGGAGGAGTCGCTCCATCGTCGGCAATATTCATCATGGCCGACGCTTGCGCAGTTCCGCGCGTAATTCGAGGAGAGTTCAAGATCAATCAAGGCGGGCGAGGAAAATATGAACGTAAACACGCCGATTGTTATCTGGTCTAGTCCTGTTTAGGTGTTATCTCGTCCCATCACACGTGTTTTGGTGGATTGGCGTCGGCCATGATGAGTATTGCCGACGATGGAACGACTCCTCCATCAAAATGTTCACCTGTGCCGTAGTATCGTTTTTGAAGCGGGAAGCTCAAAAAACCGCAAATTTCTTACGCAGATTGTGAAGTTATGAGTGCATTTCAGACTTTGCCAATGCGCTCATCGTGGTTTTTGAGGCATTATCTACAGGAAACAACTCTTATTTTTGCGCTAGCAAAAGTTTGCAACAGGCCCATTGTCCGTAAGGAATTGTTGAAACCCCGAAAGTAAAAGCTTCCACCTGTCGCTAGGAAGCCAGTGGAGGGTCTCTTGTCTCTGGTTACCGGTCTTTCGGTAAAACCGTATGAAGCTTGTAAAATTGAACTTAACTCACTTTTCATTTGCTTTCCAGCTATACTGTCCGCGCTGAAGCTCCCGCGGGTTACTGTAACGATAAGAAAATGCGACATCATCGACCCTGAGGCCACGGCCGAATGGCGGAAAAAGGCGGAGGACGTGGAAAGCAACGAAGAGGAGAGCGGAGAAGAGTGCAGCAGGGAGGACGACGAAGAAGACGAAGACGAACAAAAGGAAAACGCGAATTGGGTCCAGGACGTCATCGGGGCCACGCCCGAAGAGTTCTTGCAACAGGAAAACCCCCAAAGCACAAGTCTAGTCTCAGTCATGTTCAGGTGCCCCAAGTGCAACATTAGGTCCAAGAGCTATCAGAATTTGCATCCCAAAAACCGCTTCGGTCGCAACGTCAAACCCAAATTCGTCTGCGTTCGATGCAAACAGGCCAGTAAAATGCCGGATCGTGACGGTAGAAATTCCTTCGAAGACAGCGAGTATGTCTTCTATAAATGATGAAGTTGACGTTCGTCATCCTATCCGACCCCCTTCCGGGTAGAATATCCCGAGTGCCATGTTACCGGACATTTCAAAAAAATGTCAATTTTTTCACTAAAATGTTTGCATTTATTTTCATGAAAATGTCAGGCTTTAATCTTGATCACAAAATGAATATCATGCAAAATTGTCAAGTAATTATATTTATTTATGAGTTTCTCGGAAAAATTGGGGAAGCTCGACATCCTCATGCCGAAGCACAACTGGCGCTTGAGATATTTTGCACGAAGGATATTTTCAGATTTGAGGCTCGAGTGGCTGTGCCAGAACAACTTATTTATTTTGTTTCGGTTGAAAGATAATCCATCCCGGTTTGCCTAGAATTATGATACTCCAAAGTTTAGAATTGGTAGCCGTACATGCGAACAAACAAGTAATCTAACATACAACACCCTCTTTTATCCGAAAAATCTGGAAGATCTGGCTGGAAAAAAGTCGCTTGGATCTTGAGTCCAGACGCTTAATAACATTGACAAGAAAAAATACTCTTGATTTAATCCGATTTTTCCATGGATCGAAGAGCCGATCCTCTCGATTTAGGCGGATTTCCATTTGATTCAAGCAAGAAGTCCAATTGACTCAAGAGTGTTTTTTCTTGTCAATGTTTTTAAGAGTGAACTCTAGATCCAAGCGAAATTTTTTTCCAGTGTAATCCAGAGAGCATCTCAATCCGGAACCTTCTTCGTCCACCCCCCCTTCCCCCCAAAAAAACTGAGCTATGTGAATAATGAGCGAGATCCGCCCTTACGAACCAGAATTTATTCCGCCAAAAGAGGAGATTCCACTCATTTCACTTTGGTTGTTTGGGCCAAATTAAGTTCCAGGGTAAAATGCAATCGGGACTTACCAGCGAGATTTTTAAAAGTGCAGTGACGGATATTAAACAGGTAGTACAGAGCCATGCGACTCAAGCACCAAGTTTTATGAATGACCTGTATGCGTGAAACTACGGGTACAGGGTTTCCTCAAAGTTTATCATCAACTTTAAACTGGATTTAAAACTGCAATTATAAACTGGATTTTAAAGTGCAATTTTAAACTGGATATAATGAATGTGACTAAATTTGTGTGTTGGAATTTGAATACTTGTTTGTTTTCGTAATTTTCATAGTTCCTTTGATCTCTGAAGATAAATGAAATTCAAATATAGTAGAAAATATATAGTATTTATATCCTATCTTATAAAGACATTATTTTCATAGTTGTTTGTTTACTATTTAAGATATATTTCTATTAATAAAATTTTACGGCACTTAAAGTTAATCTTTCAGATTTTTATTTTTCATTTGTGTTTTCGCCGAATAGTTTTTAATGTGTCATAATTCTCTAAATTCATATTCTACACGAGTTATATTTTTTTCCTCTCCATATTTGCTCAGGTTATTGCGTAGTATGAGTTGAACACATTAAAGAAATCTTCCCATTGCTTCATCGTTCATTTTCATGCGGATTTAAAATTGTTCATCAGAATCATCCTTACTTTTTCCACCTAAGCTTTATTACTTTAAATGTTTTTCAAACAATCCTCATTAGTTATTTTTTGTTCTCCCCCCCATTTTCAAGTTTGCTTTTTGTTTATGCTACGTTTAAATTTTTTTTTTTGAGACAAAGACTCTTTGTTATTTTCAACTTGGTTTTTTTCATGTTCCTCAGCTCTAACTATAATCACAGGTTTTTTCACTGACCGCCCTGCTTTACACATAATTTTGTACTACTTTTTAAAATAAGGAACAGAAAGATGTGTTGACATCCTTTAATCTTCCACAATTCCATTCCTTTCGACACTTTTTCCTTATTTTGTATGATAAAATAACGCTAAGCGTGCAGTTTGTGGTCGTATGCGTATTCTCAGCGTATTTTATAATTATTTGTTAAGAAAGCACACAAAGGGGCAGGTTATTTTAGAAGCTATTCTAGTCCTCTACAATTTAAGTGCAGTGTTGTAATTATTTTTAGTGTAAGTTTATATCACCTCCTCACATATTTGTTTCCTTTTTTCTTCCGTAATTTTCTTGAATGTTGAAATGTGATCAAACTTCAAAGCGGCACATTCCAATGTTTACTCACATCACGCCACATCCTCGTTTTCCCATCCCAATTTGAAACAATATTTTTCATCGAGGATTATAAATTACATTTTTTGAAAACTATCATACAAGTAACTTTTCAGTTTTCCCTTTTTCTTTAAACCCACCCTTATGATACTTTTTATGATATTTCAACCCTTTTCATTTCGAAAGTAAGTCCAATTTTGATGAGGTCCATTTTTAATATTCCTCGCCACTTTGTGAACCAAATACGGAAGGAACGGAAAATTACTTCTTGATTTTTCAGTCAACATGTAAACCAAAATGTAATCTTCTTGTCAACAGCTCTCCCAATATTATCAATATTTGATCCTGACCAATGACTTGGCGATAGTCAGTAAAAAATTGTCACAGAGAGTATCTTTCTTAGCACACACGTGTGTGAGTTTTCCTATATTCGCGTGTCTCGTAATAAAATGCAAGTTAATCCTTCGATTCCGAATTTTGTGGCCATTTCAGGAATCCATGATTTACGCCAAGTCAACTTCTTATTCAATAAGATTATTTTTCCAATATTTTCCTCACTATTCACTTAATGTTAGTTATTATCGAAATAAATTTTTTCCACAGAAAAAGAGAGAAAAAATTCATTATTTTTAATCAATTTTTTCCATTGTACCTTTTTTAATTTTTAATACAAAATCAGTACTTTTTTCAAACGATGGTTTTTTTTCTTTTTTACTCTCCTAATGAAATCTAATCATATCTTTTAAAGATAGATGAAAACCATTTTTAAGCACATCACAATGAAGATTGCACAGTTTGCCATGAAACGTATTTAATTCTTTTTATGTGTATTTAAATAATGTAAAGCCTTGCCGTAAATTATCAACTGACGGAATGTCAGGACCTCGCAAATTAAAACCAATGAACACATTCATTATTCCTGGCATGGCATGTTCATTAAATATTGTTGAGCCCCTGTTGTTCCGCCAGTATATTTTCTTCAAGTTTTAACAGTAATGTAAGTGCGACAATTAAGATGAAGATTGCAAATTTTTAAATTTTATATTCGTATTATCATTATCATATTCCAAGAAAAAGTAATACCTAATGGGCCTGTTGCAAACTTTTGCTAGAGCAAAACTAAGAGTTGTTCCTTACAGATAATGCTTCAAAAATCACGATGAGCGCATCGGCAAAGTCTAAAATGCACTCATAACTTCACAATCTGCCCAAGAAATTTGCGGTTTTTTGAGCTTCCCGCTTCGAAAACGATACTACGGTACAGGTGAACATTTTGTTAGAGGAGTCGTTCCATTGGCGGCAATAGACCAATTTAGTGGTGACGTCACGGAGCGATATTGGTGGTTCGATATCTCGAAAGTCGAAATGTGCCCCAACAAACAAACATAACCTTCTAAGCGCTTTAATTGATAAGAGAGTAATAAAACTAGCCGAAAACTGAAAAATTTATCCGTGATATCGTAAAATTATGAAAGCTTGTCATTTTCCAATACTTTTGATACCACATTTGCAAGAATAGGAAATATACTAAGCTCGTTTTTTTGTTTATTTTTCTCACAACATACTTAATCCTAAAACATCTCTCCGACCTGTTACCCTTTCGAATAAACTTCTAATTTTTTTTTTT